ATGCTTGTGGTTCCAGCTACTCGGAAGGCTGAGGCAGAAGGATCACCTGAGCCCAGTAGGTAGAGGCTGCGGTGGCCGTTAAGTGTTGCCAATGCACTCCAGCCTGGGCAACAGAGTGAGACTCCAATTCAAAAAAATAAAATAAAATAAAATTCATGTCTATTTTCTCAGTCCCTACTGAATCCTATGCCGGGCTCTGAAATAGAATTGAGCTTAGTAAAAGACCTGCTTGACCTTAAGGAGCCCCATGCCATTAGGGGCAATGGACATGGCATGGACTATGGAGACACATTTCTGTAATAGTGAATGTAGAAGTGGCTACATGAAAGGAACAAAGAGCTTTCGGAGTCCAGTGAAGGAGGATCAATCCCAGATGGGAAAAGCGATTTATTCAACATGCATCTTGAATGAAGATACAGTTCTATATGCCAGGCACGGCTCTAAGGGTTTTATGTGGATGAAGGCATTGTTAGATTTTTACAGATGGGGAATACAATGCATAGGATCGCCAAGTAACTTGCTCAACGTCACACAGCTACTAAGTGATAGAAAAGGGATCTTAACCCAGGCTGCCTGCCTCGAGTCTGTGTTCGTCTACCTCACGGGAAAAACCTCGTGGAAAACGTGGGATTAGGCCGTGATTTTTTTTTTTTTGAGTTGGAGTCTCACTCTGTCGCCCAGACTGGAGTGTAGTGACTGCTCCCGGCCACCGCAGCCTCGACCTGCTGGGCTCCAGCGATCCTTCCGTCTCAGCCTTCCGAGTAGCTGGAACTACAGGCGCGCGCTACCACGCCCGGCTGATTTTTTGATTTATTGTAGAGATGAGGTCTCGCCAAGTTGCCCAGGTGGGTCTCAAACCCGCGGGCTCAGGCAATCCACTCACCTCAGCCTCCCAAAGGCGCGGGATTACAGGCTGAGCCACCGAGGCAGGCTTAGGCCGTGATTCGTGAAAGAATCTGTCTAGGTGGAAAAGCGCATGGCCGTTCCTAGCAAAATACAGACTGGAAAACACACGCTTGCCGGGCTCGGTGGCTAGGAGCCCAGCAGGTCGAGGCTGCGGTGGCCAGAGCTGCCACCGCACTCCAGTCTGGGTGACAGAGTGAGACTCCAACTCACAAAAAAAAAAAAAAAAAAAAAAAGAGAAAGAGAAAACACACGCTCCCCTCTTTGGCCACCATGCCTATCTAACGCGGGGAGGGATTTCACAAGTACACAAAAGGAAGAAAGAAGAGGAAGGTAACTTCCGTTTACGCTAAGTAGCGGAACTGTTTCCATGGAAATAGTAACGGGGTCCCAGGTAGATAAGGTCTCGCGGTGCTTGAGCCGGCGGAAGTGACGTCGCCGCTCCCGAGGCCCTCAGGTGGATCGCCGCGGCCCCTCCTCTCAGAGCGGTCGCCTTTTCCCGCGCGAGCGACCGGTGCTGCTCGGGCCGCCCGGGGTGAAATATGGCGTCTGCCCTGGAGCAATTCGTGAACAGTGTCCGACAGCTCTCAGCTCAAGGTGAGGCCCCGGGCCACCGGGCTGGGCCTGGGTGGGTACTGGGGATAGGCCTGCATCCCCAGACGCCAGCGCGGACGGCTGGGACCGCCCTCGTAGTCCCGAGCCTCTTCTTGGTCCGGGCTTGGGGTTGCGGCGCTTAGGTCAAGGCGGGGTCGAGCGCGGCTGAATGTGAGAAGTCCCCCCTTGCGCTCTGCTGTTCTTGCCCGTCGGCCTTCCCTCCTTCGGGCCGCTGGGAGCCCCCTCCCCCCGATCCGGGCCCCTTTCGCCAAGCTCTTTGCTTGACAGTTTGGGGGCGTGACTTCCGCCGCACGGCTTCCCGAGCCCTCATTGGCTCCTTCGGTCTCCCATGTTTTCAGTGATTGGTACACGGCCCTGTCAGTCCTACCGCCGCTCTGCCGTCTGCTGACTAGGCCGCGGAGAGCGGGCGGGAGGTGAGCCGTTTTTGGGTTCCTTGGCATGGAGGCGCGCCTTGGCCGGCTTCTCCGCTGCCAGCCGGCGCAGGCTCCGGAACCTCTGCGCCTATTTTGGTCCTACAGAATGCCGAGGGAGCTTTCGTGCGTAGGACTCCATTTCTAGGCGTAGCGTGGATTCCATGATTGCCTTCACGTTCCATGTTGTTTGATTCATTCATCTCATCTGATTATGCAGGATCCTGAACTCGGAATTAGAATAATTAAATACTGGCTGTGAAGGCCTCTTTTTCCTGTTCTTCAGCTTTTTCACTTGCAAAATAAAAACAAGTCTTTGCTTCATAGAGTTGTTGTAAATATTGAATGAGAGAAACCATGTAAAAGCACTTGGAACAGTGCCTGTCAGATGGAGTGCAATAAATACAGCTGCAAATTATTGTTAATGGGCCATTAATTGTAAAGTTCTGGAGCTACATGACCTTGCACAAGTCACCATTAATCTCTTAAGTCTCTTTTATCTCCATTTTTTAAAATGGAGAGGGTGCTGTTTACTCACTGTTGTAGGGCCTGAATAATTTGGAATGGATCTGTGCTTAGTAGTTAATAGTTCTCTCTCATTTTTCTTTTTTTTTTTTTTGAGTTGGAGTCTCACTCTGTCGCCCAGACTGGAG